ATGGTAGAAAATCTTGTTCTGAAGGTAATAAAATAAGTACGAAATTTGATGGAAAAATGATGAAATTATGGTACCATGAATCTTCTGTGTCAGGGATATTTACATATCGGCAATTTTCCCCACATTGACTCCTATTTTAGGCCAATTACATTGTTCCAGTTGACAAAATTCTTAGCTATTGCACTAGTATACCTTCTATTTTATCGATTGAGCACAAGAACCTGCCCAGTGAACTATTTCATCTTCCCAATAAAGTGATCAGAAATTGGTAATTTGGCCAATTTATCACAAATTTCAAATTCCAATTTTAAAATAGGGTCCAGAATAAATGATACAGGCATTCCTGGCACTAAAATAACATTTTCTGTGTTCATTAGTTACGTTCCCAGTCTTCACATATGAATTCCATTTTGATTTTTTTATTACACAAAGAATTTTTATTCACATAAATAAAAGATTTACTGTTATGCAATATTGTAATAATTGTATAAATAATATCAGCACATTAGTGAATGCAAATTAGACCCACCATTTGACGTAGTAGTAGGTTGGTAGACAGCAACCACCCAGGGAGGTACTACCGTCCTGCCAAGTGAATGTAAAACAAAAGCCTGTAATTGTTTTACATGATGGTAGGATTGCTGGTGTCTTTTGTCTGTCTCATAAATATGCAAGATTACAGGTATGTCTTGCTACTTCTACTTACGTACACTTAGGTCACACTACACATACATGTACACGTTTATTTATACACACTCATCTGAGTTTTCCTTGATTTTATCTTAATAGTTCTTGGTCTTATTACTTTTCCTTTTATATCCATGGGGAAGTGGAATAAGAATCTTTCCTCCATAAGCCATGCGTGTTGTAAAAGTCAACTAAAATGCCGGTAACAATGGGCTAGTAACCCCTTTTCCTGTAAAGATTACTAAAAAGAATAAGAAGAAGAAAATTGTCAAAGTGGGAAGTCTGAATGTGTGTGGATGTTGTGCAAATGATAAGAAAGAGATGATTGTGGATGTTATGCATATATGAATGAGAAGAAGCTGGATGTCCTGGCTTTAAGTGAAACGAAGCTGAAGTGGGTGGGAGAGTTTCAATGGAGAGGAATAAATGGGATTAGGTCAGGGGTTTCAAATAGAGTTAGAGCTAAAGAAGGAGTAGCAATAATGTTGAAGGATAAGCTATGGCAGGAAAAGAGGGACTATAAATGTATAAATTCAAGGATTATGTGGAGTAAAATAAAGATTGGATGTGAAAAGTGGGTTATAGTAAGTGTGTGTGCACCTGGAGAAGAAAGAAGCGTAGAGGAGAGAGAGAGATTTTGGGAAATGTTGAGTGAATGCGTGGGGAGTTTTGAATCAAGTGTGAGAATAATGGTGGTTGGGGATTTCAATGCTAAAGTGGGTAAAAACGTTATGAAGGGAGTAGTAGGTAAATTTGGGGTGCCAGGGGTAAATGTAAATGGGGAGTCTTTAATTGAGCTATGTGTAGAAAGAGATTTGGTAATAAGTAATACATATTTTATGAAAAAGAGGATAAATAAATATACAAGGTATGATGTAGCATGTAATGAAAGTAGTTTGTTAGATTATGTATTGGTGGATAAAAGGTTGATGGGTAGGCTCCAGGATGTACATGTTTATAGAGGGGCAACTGATATATCGGATCATTATTTAGTTGTAAACTACAGTTAGAGTAAGAGGTAGATGGGAAAAGAGGAAGGTTTGGGAACAACAAGTAAGAGGGAGGTGGAAGTGTGTAAACTAAGGGAGGAGGAAGTTCAGGAGAGATATAAGCGACTGTTGGCAGAAAGGTGGGCTAGTGCAAAGATGAGTAGTGGGGGGGTTGAAGAGAGTTGGAATAGTTTTAAAAATGCAGTATTAGAATGTGGGCAGAAGTTTGTGGTTATAGGAGGGTGGGGGCAGGTGGAAAGAGGAGGATTGGTGGAATGATGAAGTAAAGGGGTGTGATAAAAGAGAAAAAGTTAGCTTATGAGAGGTTTTTACAGAGCAGAGGTGTTAAAAGAAGAGCGAGTATATGGAGAGTAAAAGAAAGGTGAAGAGAGTGGTGAGAGAGTACAAAAGGAGAGCAGATGAAAGAGTGGGAGAGGCACTGTCAAGAAATTTTAATGAAAATAAGAAAAAATTTTGGAGTGAGTTAAACAAGTTAAGAAAGCCTAGGGAAAGTATGGATTTGTCAGTTAAAAACAGAGTAGGAGAGTTAGTAGATGGGGAGATGGAGGTATTAGGTAGATGGCGAGAATATTTTGAGGAACTTTTAAATGTTGAGGAAGAAAGGGAGGCGGTAATTTCAATCACTGGTGAGGGAGGTATACCATCTTTTAGGAGTGAAGAAGAGCAGAATGTAAGTGTGGGGGAGGTACGCGAGGCATTACGTAGAATGAAAGAGGGTAAAGCAGCTGGATCTGATGGGATCATGACAGAAATGTTAAAAGCAGGGGGGGGGGGGTATAGTGTTGGAGTGGTTGGTACTTTTGTTTAATAAATGGATGAAAGAGGGGAAGGTACCTAGGGATTGGCAGAGAGCATGTATAGTCCCTTTATATAAAGGGAAAGGGGACAAAAGAGATTGTAAAAATTATAGAGGAATAAGTTTATCGAGTATACCAGGAAAAGTGTACGGTAGGGTTATAATTGAAAGAATTAGAGGTAAGACAGAATGTAGGATTGCGGATGAGCAAGGAGGTTTCAGAGTGGGTAGGGGATGTGTAGATCAAGTGTTTACATTGAAGCATATATGTGAACAGTATTCAGATAAAGGTAGGGAAGTTTTTATTGCATTTATGGATTTAGAAAAGGCATATGATAGTGGATAGGGGAGCAATGTGGCAGATGTTGCAAGTATATGGAATAGGTGGTAAGTTACTAAATGCTGTAAAGAGTTTTTATGAGGATAGTGAGGCTCAGGTTAGGGTGTGTAGAAGAGAGGGAGACTACTTCCTGGTAAAAGTAGGTCTTAGACAGGGATGTGTAATGTCACCATGGTTGTTTAATATATTTATAGATGGGTTTGTAAAAAGTAAATGCTAGGGTGTTCTGGAGAGGGGTGGGATTAAATTATGGGGAATCAAATTCAAAATGGGAATTAACACAGTTACTTTTTGCTGATGATACTGTACTTATGGGAGATTCTAAAGAAAAATTGCAAAGGTTAGTGGATGAGTTTGGGAATGTGTGTAAAGGTAGAAAGTTGAAAGTGAACATAGAAAAGAGTAAGGTGATGAGGGTATCAAATGATTTAGATAAAGAAAAATTGGATATCAAATTGGGGAGGAGGAGTATGGAAGAACTGAATGTTTTCAGATACTTGGGAGTTGACGTGTCGGCGGATGGATTTATGAAGGATGAGATTAATCATAGAATTGATGAGGGAAAAAAGGTGAGTGGTGCATTGAGGTATATGTGGAGTCCAAAAAACGTTATCTATGGAGGCAAAAGAAGGGAATGTATGAAAGTATAGTAGTACCAACACTCTTATATGGGTGTGAAGCTTGGGTGGTAAATGCAGCAGCGAGGAGACGGTTGGAGGCAGTGGAGATGTCCTGTCTAAGGGCAATGTGTGGTGTAAATATTATGCAGAATATTCGGAGTGTGGAAATTAGGAGAAGGTGTGGAGTTAATAAAAGTATTAGTCAGAGGGCAGAAGAGGGGTTGTTGAGGTGGTTTGGTCATTTAGAGAGAATGGATCAAAGTAGAATGACATGGGAAGCATATAAATCTATAGGGGAAGGAAGGCGAGGTAGGGGTCGTCCTCGAAAGGGTTGGAGAGAGGGGGTAAAGGAGGTTTTGTGGGCAAGGGGCTTGGACTTCCAGCAAGCGTGCGTGAACGTGTTAGATAGGAGTGAATGGAGACGAAAGGTACTTGGGACATGACGATCTGTTGGAGTGTGAGCAGGGTAATATTTAGTGAAGGGATTCAGGGAAACCGGTTATTTTCATATAGTCGGACTTGAGTCCTGGAAATGGGAAGTACAATGCCTGCACTCTAAAGGAGGGGTTTGGGATATTGGCAGTTTGGAGGGGTATGTTGTATATCTTTATACGTGTGTTCTTCTAAACTGTTGTATTCTGAGCACCTCTGCAAAAACAGTGATTATGTGAGTGTGGTGAAAGCGTTGAATGATGATGAAAGCATTTTCTTTTTGGGGATTTTCTTTCTTTTTTGGGTCACCCTGCCTCGGTGGGAGACGGCCGACTTGTTGAAAAAAAAAAAAAATTGACGTGCATTGGATGCGTGACGCAATTTATTTTTCTCTTGAACATCTGCAAAAATCAAACATTTCTGCTAGTTTGAGCTTAATTTCAAGCTATTTTAATTCCTCATAACCATCAAAATCATCTCTATTTCTGTAATCTATCTTCCATTTTATCAAACAGGACCAAGAAACTAAGAACACAACCATATAAACCAAACGAAAATACATCACAAAGTTGCTGCTTTAAATAAAAGACACGGTCGCAGTTTTTTTTCCCCTCATTACGCACTGTGTGCTGCAAGATTTGTTTTATATGGTGCACACTTACTGCATCGATGCACTCTATCATGTTTAGTCCAAAATTCACCACTCACAACTTACTTGAGTGAACTGAGCTCATCATGTAGTACTACAGCACGGACCCTGGCTTCAAAGCCATAGAACTATGGCACGGACCCTGAAAGGGTTAAATTATATAAACTCTCTCAATACAGGTAGACGAGGTCATGCAATATAAAAATATTGTGGCATTTGTAGTTTTAATATTAGAATTTGAGTAGAGAGAAATCCTAGTATCAGTGCATCGGGAATAGAGGTGGTTGACTTTGTTAGGATCAAGATAATGCTGAAGGTTTACTTGTACAATACAGTTAAATTTGAGTTGCATGAATAATATAATCTGTACACAAAGATGTGCTTATATTCAGGTATATTGCAGCATTCCTTATTTTTTTTTTTTTTTTAAAATTTTAACTGAGCAGGTAAATTTCCTTTTAAACAGGATGGAGTAGATCTTATGGATGAAGAAGTACTCAGATTCTACACTAGACAATGGGAAGAGTATCAGTTTTCTAGTAAAGTAAGTAATGTATCTTTTTTAAAACTTAATAATTCTATTTCAACTAAATATATAAATACAATTAGTCGCTTTTCATTTACTAAACGGTATATCCAAGGCTTGCAGATTTAAAAACTTGGTTTTACTTTGTCCTAAAGGTCATGGACTACTGTTACTACATGTTTATTTTTGCACTTTACCCAGCAGTAGTAAGAAAGTGAAAATTCTAAAAGCGTAAGAAAGGCTGCTGAAATTAAGTAACAATACCACAACATGAACAATTCTTGGGTAACTCGCATGTTGCTGTAGGGGAGAAAAAGTTTTTAAAATCCATCCTTCTTTCTCTTGCTTGTTCACCTGCTTTCCTTGATTCTTCGTTTCTGTATATTAATTGCGATCAGGGAATTTCAGATCTTTCCAATGACACCATAACAAGGTTTGCCACAATTTTGTTGTATTGTCTAGGAATTTAGTCTGATTTTATTGTACATTTTTATATTTTTTTTTTTTGTGTGTGTATGCATGTTAAATTAAACATTGATTCATGAGTAGGAGAGGTTGACCTTGGTTGCCCTTATAATCTGTAAATGGTGGAAGTGAACATTTTTCATTAACACTGTTAATAACTCTGTAGCATCAGTTATTACTGCTGCTTTATCTTTTCAACCACATGATTGTTATCACTTGTAAGTTTTCTGCTAGTTATTACTTCCTGAAATAATTTACTTCTTAATTGGTCATTGCTAGCTTCGGGTAACCATTTACCTAACAATGCTTAAAAGGCATCGTACATCCAAGGCAAACAGTATTGACATGCCGATGAATAAGGCACATGTACACTACTTGTGCATTGTTAGAGGCGAGACTTTTTGCCCGAGAAAGCTTTGTCAATCTAAGAGGCATATGAATGGAATCAGAGAAGAAGTGCATCAGTTAAGACATGGTCACATGTACCCACCTTATGGGTATGTCCTAGTGGGTGCTGCATGCATGTAATGTACCCACCTTATGGGTATGACCTATTGGGTGCTGCATGCATGTAATGTACCCACCTTATGGGTATGACCTAGTGGGTACTGCATGCATGTAATGTACCCACCTTATGGGTATGACCTAGTGGGTACTGCATGCATGTAATGTACCCACCTTATGGGTATGACCTAGTGGGTACTGCATGCATGTAATGTACCCACCTTATGGGTATGACCTAGTGGGTACTGCATGCATGTAATGTACCCACCTTATGGGTATGACCTAGTGGGTACTGCATGCATGCATGTAATGTCTTCAGCTGCTACACCTTTCTCTTGGCTTCTGTATAGTTTTCCATTCTCATGCCTCAATATCTGATTGATAATGCCTGCTTTGCAGACAAAATGTCTTGCCCAGGTATGGCATAAATTTTGTACATCAAAACTTAAAAAAAAAGCTTAAAATTGGATGAGATGACAGGGTACAACCTGTTCCTGTTTTACTACTATTAATTATGAATTACACTGAATTTCTGAACTTTTCTTATTTTAAGAATACTTAGATTATGGCTATTTTAGGTTAGATTAACTAATTCATTATGCATAGTACTGTACTGACATTTAACCTTCAGCAAGAAAATTATAAAAAACAGGCAGGGCATGTATGGCATAAGGAAGGCACCTTCAAATTGTGTTTTTACAACAGTAAAGTTTGTGTAAGGTATGAGGATGGGCTTCTGAGTAAGACTGTACATGGAACCACTTTCTTGAAGTCAAGTTTGCTGAGGGAATAAAACTTGGAAAGTTAATAAATGTTAGATAATTAAGTATTTAATTATTGTACAATATTTACAACCTGTATTTCCAGTTGGATAACCTCTTCAACTCTGTTCTAGGTTTTGAATGGCGTTTGCGCCTATTTAAATAGGCATTGGGTAAAAAGAGAATGTGATGAGGGCCATAAGGGTATCTATGAAATATATCAACTAGCTCTTGTGACGTGGCGTGACCATCTGTTTCAGCCCTTAAATAAACAGGTAAGTCAGGATTATTCATTATACAAGTTGGCCATCACTAATCTGGCAATCAGTAATCCAGCACTAATTTTGGCTAGCATAACTTCAAATTTCCAGGGTCGCCTCACCAACCTGCTGAGCGCTACTTGCTGCACAAGTCATTCCAATTTCTTTTTCTCCATTTATTGTTATAATCTGCTCACTTTTAGCTCTATCCATAATTCCAACTAATAAAAGAAATGCTTCTCATTGTGTAAAGCACATACACAGTACATTGTCCATAAAAGATAAGGTGGCTTTGAAGCCATTGTTGGTTGCCATGAGCTCAGCTCACTCAGATAAGCTGTGACCAGTATATTTGGGCCTGCATATGAGAATAGGTCTGTGTGGTAAGTGTGCACTATATAAAAAAGATCCTGCAGCAAATAATGAACAAACAAAACACTCAGCACATAGTGGTGGGAGGGCTGGCTGCCAGTTGCGGGGGTCGGAGGGAGGGTAGTAGGGACTCGCAGGTGGCGGGAAACTTGAATATGATTTGGCGGCTGGGAATTTAGCGGTTGGGAATTCGTGAATGTGTGAAGCCCACGAAAGTGAAAACGCGAATGTTGAGGGAGACCTGTATTACCCTGCTCACACTCCAACAGCTTGTCAGGTCCCAAATACCATTCTTCTCCATTCACTCCTATCTAACACGCTCATGCACGCTTGCTGGAAGTCCAAGCCCCTTGCCCACAAAACCTTTACCCCCTCCCTCCAACCTCTTCAAGGATGACCCCCTACCCCACCTTCCTTTGCCTACAGATTTATATGCTCTCCATATCATTCTACTTTGATCCATTCTCTTTAAATGATCGTTATTATTAGACCTAATTTCTCTGGGAATGTATATACTCTGAGCACGGTGTACATTATTAAGAAAAAAATCATAATCACAGATCCCTTTGTAATCATAAGTATGATAATCAAAAAACTCATTAGCTAGGTAACCCCAATTGAGATGAGACAGGTGTTCCCTATGTCCACTATAATCGGCAGAATGAAAATCAGGGATTTTTACCGTATTATTATTCTTGTATTCCCAGTTAATGCTAAAAGTGATGGATTTGTGATCACTTGCGCCAAGCTCTTCAGTGATCTCCAAATTATTTACGAGTGTTTCCTCATTTAACAAGACTAGGTCGAGCAAATTATTACACACTGCTTCAGAAAACAGTCCTGAACTGTTTCCATAAAGTCACTGGACTCCAGATTACTGGTCAAAGAAGTCCAGTCAATTTGACTAAAGTTAAAATCCCCTACTATCACTATGTTATAATGTCTAGAAGCCCTAACAATTTCGTCCCAAAGAAGTCTCCCTCTATCGTGATCCAAGCCTGGAGATTGGTATATTACACTAGAATTAATTTTTCTTGACCTTCTACAAACTCTACCCAAACAGATTGTTACTATTCCATCTATTTTTATACCTTTTTTTATGCAACAGTTAATATTTTCTCGAACATATAATGCAACTCCTCCCGCCTTCCCGTTACATCTATCCACATGGAACAACTTAAACCCTTTAATATTACACTCAGCAATCATATCCTGACTCTTTAAATCATACCACATTTCAGTTAATGCAATGACATCAAAGTTCCCAGCACATGCTACCAAACGTAGTTCATTAATCTTATTTCTTGCACTTCGACTGTTAGCATAAAATACCATCCTATGTTTTTTCTTCTGCACATTTTTCCTATTCACCTTTGCTTTTACACAATTTCTGAAATTATCATTACCCAACGTTACTCCACGACTGTTATTATTAAGATTAATAATATCAAAGCCTAAGTCAGTATATCCATACTCATTATTTTTCATTTCTAAACCCATACCTCTAACTAATCTTAGTTTAAAGTCCTAACAACCCCCTCAACTGAGCTAGCAAGTAAACCCACACCTGCCCTGGATAAGTGAACCCCATCCCTGGCATACGTGTCATTTCGGCCATAGAAGTGGTCCCAGTTGTCAGTGAATGGTACTGCATTATCCTTAAAGTGTTTGTCCAGCCAACAATAAATACCAATTGCTCTGGACAACCGTTCATTTCCAACACCCCTTCTTGGCAAAATGCCACATTTAACAGGGTATCCCCCCCCATTCTTCTTAATTATGTCTGTTGCTGTCCTGAACCTTCTAACTAAATCCTCACTTCTACACTTGCCTACATCGTTGCCTCCAGCACTGAGGCAGGTAATAGGATTGATCCCATTACCGTTCATGATGTTGTCAAGCTGGCTAACAATATCCTCCACCCCAGTCCTAGGAAAGCAAACCCTCTGTCTCCTACTCCTATCCTTCAAGCAGAAGGCCCAATACATATACCTAATCTGGCTATCCCCAGCAACAACAACTATTTTTACCTTCCTTGGTGTCATTCGTCGTGACGTTCCCAGTAGTCGACTCACATTCGTCGAGTAGCATGGAAAATTCATTAGATGTTTCCACAACAGTTTCCACAGCAGTCTCTTTCTTCATTGTTTCTACCTTTCCATTCGTCTTCTTGATCATCAACTTCGTTCCATACTGTCCAGCCAATGTCCAGGTTCCCTTCTTGACCTGAGGACTCACAACAGGAGGGCTGCTATGAATCCTCTAATTTTCCTCAGTTAATCACCGTATCTCTATCTTCGCTACCCTCAATTCCTCCTTAAACTGCTGATAAAGTTGCTCGATAGAGAGCATCTTGGTTCAGTCCACGGAGAGTACACTAGACACGTCCTCTCTGAGCTAAGTACAGGTCACCACTGAGCTAGGTACAGGTCACCACTGATAAGTACAGATAGTGTTTATTCTGTTAGAGGGTTGGATTTGTGAAGGACCTGCCAAGTATAGGTCAACAGGCCTACTGTAGTGTTCCTCCTTTCTTATGTTCTTGGACTGATGAGTGGAACAGTCTGTCTAGTATGGTTATAAGAACATATGAATATAAGAAAGGAGGAACACTGCAGTAGGCCTGAGTTCCCATACTAGGCAGGTCCTTCACAATCTATCCAACTAGCAGAATATTTGCCCACCCCAATTTTCAATGCTACCCACGCAGTAAGAACGTAAGGAGGAACACTGCAGTAGGCCTGTTGGCCCATACTAGGCAGGTCCTTCACAAATACATCCCACTAACAGAATAAATGCTACCCAAGCAATAAGCGTTGACAGTTCTATTTGCTCGTGTGCAAATCCCACTCAAATCGAACCCCTTTCACTTGCATACTTATCCAACCTAAATTTGAAACTACCCAAGGTTTTAGCTTTGATAATTCTATTTACTCAGGTGCTAAAACCTTGGGTAGTTTAACCCTTTCAGGGTCCGTCCCGTAGATCTACGGCTTTACGTTCAAGGTCCAAACCGTAGATCTACGCCATGAGCTCAGCTCACTCTGATAAACTGTGAGTGGTACATTTGGGCCTAGATATGAGAGAATACATCTATGTGGTATGTGTGCACCACATAAAACAGATCCTGCAGCACACTGTGTATAATGAGAGAAAAAACTTAAATCATGATTTTTTGATTAAAACAGCAACTTTGCAGTGTTTTTTCATATGTTTTTTATAGTTGTATTTGCGATTTCGTGGTCTCATTTGATAGAATGGAAGACATATTACAGAAATAGAGATGATTTTTGATTGGTTTTAGCACTGGAATGGCTTGAAACTGAACTCAAAGTAGCGGAAATGTTAAATTTTTGCCGATATTCAAGGGTAAACAAACGACCTCCACACGTCTAATACACGTCAGCTGGTGGGTCTAATATACATTCACAAAATTATGGTGATGATATTTATACAATTATTACAGTATTGCATAACAGTAAATCTTCTATTTTTTTGGTGTGAATAAAAATTCATTATGTGAATAAAAAATCAAAAAAGGAATTTATTTGTAAAGCCTCAAAACATAACTAATGAACAGAGGAAACGTTAGTTTAGTGCCAGGAATACCTACATTGTCTATCTGGACCCTATTTTGAAATTGGAATATTTTAAACTTTGTGTTAAATTGGTCAAATTAATAATTTTCCGATCACATTTATTTTGTAGTTGAAACAGTTGACTTGGCGATTTCTTGTGCTCAATCGATAGAATAGAAGTAATAAATAGTGAAATAGCTAAGAATTTGGTTGATTGGAATAATGTAATTGGCCTAAAATGGGAGTCAAAGTCGGCAAAATCGCCGATTCGTAAATGTCGCTGACACATCAAAATTCGCGAGAGCATAATTTCGTCAATTTTCCACCAAATTTCGTACTTTTTGTTTTATTACCTTCACAAAAAGATTCTCTACGATTTCATAAGAAAAAATAACAATTTTTTTTTTTTTAAATTCTTGGACACTGGTGCGTGACTCCAGATTTGGGCCTTGGACCCTGAAAGGGTTAAAATTTGGGTTGGATAAATACACGAGTGGGAGGAGTAGGATTTGAGTGGGACTTGCACGTGAGTAAATAGAACTATCAAAGCTTATTGCTTGGGTAGCATTGAAAATTGAGTTGGGAAAACATTTTGTTAGTGTAATGGATTTTGAAGGACCTGCCTAGTATGGGCCAACAGGCCTACTGTAGTGTTCCTCCTTTCTTATGGTCATATGTTCTTATAACCATACTAGGCAGACTGTTCAAATCATCAGCATAAGAACAGAAGAAAGGAGGAACACTGCAGTAGGCCTGTTGGTAGGTAAGACAAATGGGCAACAGTTAGGCAACTTTATATCAAAACATTTCGCCTACACAGAAGGCTTCTTCAGTCGAGTACAGAAAATAGGCCAGAGCAGTGGAGATGTGAAGACGATGTAATCAGACCATCACCCTTGAAGTCATAGATTTGAGGTTGTCAGTCCCTCAGCCTGGAGTAGAGTTCTGTTCCATCGTCTGAAACAGTTTGAAGAAATGAGCGGCAGTGTGGAGACTCATACTGTCGGAAGGAGAAGTGCAGGCTGGTAGAAGAGAGAATGTAGTCCCTCTCAGATCAAACGATTC